GCAATTGCTGTAACATCATGAGGGAGTGGGGGGGAAGGGGAAGGGGAGGAGGCTGGCATTAAGCTGCTGTAGTATATAAATCCTGGGTTGTCTTTTTATATTTTACATGTTTTGAAAACTATTTTCTAGGTAGTTCTGCTGCATACTTTGAAAGACACCTATAATTGTTTTTCCTTTCTGTGTCAGTTCCTCTTCTCTTTGAAAGTGCTGTAATAACCATGTAAAAAGTGACAGTGGCTGCAAGTCAGATATAGGTTTACTTTGAGTAGTGTGCATTTGGACCCAAATTGTATAGATATCTAGAGAAGTAATATATTGCAAGGAATGAAACAAGGATGACATACCTAAAATGTGCAGAGACATCTGTATTATCCTCGGCAATTTTGAAATGTTGAGGAAAAGAGAAAATATTACCCTTTTTGCCTCAGAAAAATCTCATAGAATTTTTGTTTTCCTTTTAACAGGACAGTTTATCAAATAAGGCTTAAACTGTTTGTATAACACATCCTCTACTTACAAGGTATTCAACAGCTTCCTAGAAGTTAAAGTAATAAGATGTAAGATATACAGGCATAGGAGTGGAGTATCAGAAATAGAGTACTTTTGGGATCCATTTGTGAGGCAGAACTTGCCTGGATTTGCTACTGTGTAAGTTGTAGTTAATGGCTGAAAGAACTAATTAAGTGTTCTTTCAGGGAATGTACACTGTTTCAGAGGTGTGTCTGTGAATACTCTTAATACAGATCTCTTCATTAGCAGGAAACTATAACACAGTATTTATTCTGATCTCCCCCAAAATAGTCCTCCTGTTTTGTCCATCTTCAGAAAGGACTTGAAATTAAATGGAAGATTTCAGAATGGAACCTTAGCTTTTTCTGTGCTCTGCACTCTCTTCTGTGGTGAGGCGAGATACCGTGGTCGCTTTCTTGTAATACCCACAGGGACCATTTTGCGGCTGCTTCAGAAGTATGTGAAGCTGGACCCTTGCCACTGGAGGCGTACTTTTAGTGTGGCCTTCAGCACACTTGCATGGCTCTCTGGGTTGCAGCATCTGCACAACCTCCTTTTTGAAAACAGAACATTTGTTTTGAAGTAAACTTTTATGTTTCTTCAGTAAATTGGGTTTTTACGCAAGCCTTCGCAGCCATAGCAACTGCTTCTCTTTTGTATATTGAACTTCGTTATGGGTTTTTCCTCTCCCACAAAGAAGATGGTTTGTGGTTAAAGTACATAAATGGATTTCAAGAAATCAAGAATTCAGCTTCTGGTTAAACCACAAATTTCCTGTATGATTGGTAGCTATCTCTGCCTTGGTTCCCCACCAGATGTAATGTTGATCTCTTATAAATTTTCAGATTAGCAGGACCCATCTTTATAATTTAATCTGATCCTCTGCATAATGGAAATGAAAAAAAAGTTAATTACCTGCATAAAGTTACAGGGCTTGTTTCTGCCATAACATCTTGGAAGTTTTAAACAGCCTTAATTTTGGGTTCAGGATCCCTTAATAATGGGTCCAGGAACCCATTTTCCTGTCTTGCAGTAAAACATTCTCACCTTTAAGCATCTTCAGTGGCAATGTGTTGGGGTCTGGTTTTAATTTATTTATTATTTTGAATTTTACCTAAATTTTTGCTCTCTTTCCTGGAAGTAAAGGACTTGGTTAACTAGAATTCTTAGACTAGCCAAGGCATTTCTTAATAGTTTTCCTTGGCTAAATTAAGGAGTTTTTTTAGTGAGTTAATCTGAGTGTTCAACATAGCTCATGCTTTGGGTTAAGGAGACACTATGGTGTATGCACAGATAATGTACGGTGCATGCAAACTATGATCATGTTTTCAGAATACCTTTATTATAAGTTTTTAATTTTATTTGTTTGCAGAGTTAGATGGCCAGTACTAGGTTTTTGCAGTTTGATGCAATGATATTTTATTTTGTAGCAATAGTTTGGAAAATGCTGCTTTGAGCTGGTCTTGAGGCAGCCCCTAAGGTTTGCTGACTGCATGTGTTTCTTGAGACCAAAATTGTTGATGTGGTACAAAAGTTTGCAAAAGCTTTCAGGAAAGCTGTCCAGTAGAAGCAGGCTGCTACACAAAACCTGAACACAATTTCTGAGATTAGTTCCTTAGACATATTATATTCATTCTGGATTTTTGACCATTTTCACAGTTCAGTTTTGTCAGTCTTAGCTACATGCAAATAGGTTTTGTCAATATAAAAGCACTATGCTATTTCCCCGCAGCATATATATCTGAAGAGTATGCCTCTATTTCAACAAGAATATTCCACTGAGAGCTTGTGATCAGCTGAAGCCATCACATTCCCATGTCTGCTGATGGGAGGCTGATCTGAGCCATACTTAGTGTGCTTTAGTCACGCCTTAGTTTAAAACACAGCAGAAGCAGCATATGCTAAACTTACTGACTTTGCTTTAAGCAGGCTAAGGACCACTTTGCAGCTCTGCCCATGAGAAGAATCATAAGGAGAGGACATTATGACAAGACAGTGGCAAGCATTGAGACACTGACTCTAGATTCTAGGCTCAGCAACTAGCATGGAGTTGTTGTTTGATTTGGGGACTTTTTTGGGTTTGGTGATTTTTGGGGGTTTTTTCATGTAATTTTTGTGATTCGCTTTGATGCAATTAGCAATCTGCAATTAACTAAAGCTCCATCTGATTATAATGGAAGTTGTTCAACTAAGCATATTTCTAGGTAATTCATACTGGTTTTCATTTCTTATTGTCATTAGTTACCATTCTTATTCTCATTGTCACCATTTTTGTCATCACAGAAGTTGTGTGAACTTACATTTTCTTTCTAATCACATAACTACTTATAAATCTACAGAACAACACAAGGTTGCCAACAAAAAATCCCTTTGATGCTTAGCTACAAATGCCTGTTGAATTTAACAATTTCTCATGTGTGGGAGATGAGATTTTCCTCATCTCCCCTTTGAAATTGTCACTGATGAGAATTATAAGCAAAATGGAGCTAGGTGTCTTACAGAAGTCCTCTATGTCATCGCAATTACTTTGTCAGCCCAAATAATGACCCTATTTAAGGAGGCTATGGAGGCTGGGAATAGCCTATTTTCTCTAGAAGTGGCTAGAGCACTGCTATTTATATACCAGTCTGTTATTTTCTGATACATTAATGACTGCAGAGACCTCGCTGGCCAATAGTTCCTTGGTGTTCCTGGATAGCTAGTTAAAACTTTCCTGTTCTCACTCCATTTCATTTTCTAAAATAGTACTTCTTTTCCAACTGTCACATTATTTTTTATTTTTGGAACAGTCAGTACTAGGCTGGTAATATTCTGATGTCTAGGGATACTTGAAGGCATGTCTGCTTAGTACCAATAATTGCTTATTCTGTTAAAAAACCCCATTACATTAGCTCATATTAAATTTACTTCAAAATGCAGCCACATTTAGAGCTTAGCTTAGCCTTTAAAATAGGAACAGAAATGGTATAGTATTCTATTTTTTCCACCCCACACTGATTTCTATATAATTTATCACAGTATATATGTGACTTCTAGGTGCAAGATACAGGATATATTTTTTCCCTTTGCATTTAGGAACAGATTTACTTATCTTTACAGGATGTGTGTGGTTGCTAGAGGTGGCAAAATAAAGAAAAGAGCACCTTTAATTACAATAGAAGATGATAAAGCTTATAATCACACTAAATTTCTTGTAGCCTTAAGAAACAGAAGGGGGAGAGGCTATGGAAGTTGTTACTCTATTGTTGCTCCTTCTTCCTTCTCCTTCCCAACAGAATTAACTTGATCTGAGCTACTCTGGTTAGGTGTTGTCATCAGGATTTTTTGCAAAAACTCCTGTTTGGACTGACCTGTAAAAGTTTTATCTTTGCAAAGATAAAGTTTACTTACATGATAAAGAGGGGTTGATTTTAGCCATAATTGTGACACTTTTGATATTTTTTTCTTCTGTCCCAAACCACTGAAACTTTTAACAAAGGGGTAAAAGTTGAGTTTTGTGGGAGAAGATAATAAAAAAATCACATTAACATATGTGGGATTTCTAGGTAGCCCTGCTGTTGCAGTGAAGAAAGAAAATCCTAATACAGAGTTTTAAGATTAAAATACTTATAAAATCTTAAAAGATTAACTTTAACCAGACACTCAGGATTCACCTGAGTATTGCCAGCATGCATGTTTAAAGTTGTGGGTTGTTTTTAATTTTAAATTCTCTAAATAAATATTTGCCCTTTCAGCCTGTTCATATTTCCCCCTCTGTCATTCTTTTCCATCCCCTAGTTTTCACCTCTTCTAGTTCTACCCCACCGAGTTTCCTCTTTGTGCTTCTTTGTGTTCCCTTTTGCATTAATGCAGTTTCTCGAATTCTTTAGAGAGACTGTATTTATTAGAAAAGTTTATTAAAATGTCATCCCTTTTCAAGTTTTTTTGATGAACTGAACTGCAGAATTTACATCTTCATACAACTGAGAACCTGTAATTTGTCTCATACCTGGGAATGTTTTTCATTATTGTTTTTAGAAAAAGACAAAAAAATATTTTGAATAATTTGTCTCCTCTGTAGGCATATTGGCACTTTAGATATGAATATAAACACATTAATATAAATGATATAATGTATATACAGAGTACATCTATATGCTTTCATACACACAGAAGCACATGCCTGTCATACGTGGATGTCTTTTAAGTACCACTGGATGAAATGCTGCCAGGAAACTTTACATGGTTGCTGCCAGGAAATTTTACATGGTTTCTGCACTTCTAGATAAGGCTCCAAATCACCAGTGGTACTGGCTGTGCCTAAATTTAAAGATTATGGGAAATGGCTATAGCAAGCTGCCACATGAATAACTAGTGGAAAGTGAAAGGAGGAAGGTAGCTTGTGAGAAAGTATTCGTTTCCAAAATGCAGCACAGAGAGGTGGAAACAAAGGGAAGACAGAATCTTAGCTGTTCACTCTGTACATTAAGTCTAATGGTGCTATCAACAGCTTCATATGACAGGAAATGATCTGGGCGTTTTGTTCACTTATTCTGGATGCCCTTAGTTTCAGAGAGCAACTGGTAACATGGATTGCACCTCGGAAGGGGACAGCTGAACTCTCCCTCTGGCTTTAGTAAGGAAAGAGCAGCGATGAAATCCGTGGACTGTGTGCACGTCATCCAACAGAAGGATACCGCCTCCTCTCCCTCTGCCCCCCCTGGTGCTGTTTCAGGCACCACGGGACTTTTTCCTGTCACATTCCTGTGGCTTGCAATGCTCCTGTCCTCTTGTCTTGCAGCAGTGTCTCTTTACCATGTTATCATCCTGAAAACAGAACTAGAAGCTCTGCGCAGCGAGCTCATCTACAGCATCCAGGCAAGGTCTCCGCTAGACCAACCACTCGTGTCCCCCGATGAAAATAAAGCAGGTATCCCTGTTTCTTCCTTCCTGCAAGTGTCTGCAGCTGGCTCCAGGCAGGTAAGCAGGAGGGGTTGGTTTTGACTTGCAGGGCTTGGACCAATGTGGGGCTGCTCTCACTGACTGTTGCTTCTCCTTGTTAGGAGAGCAGGCTTGCTGGTACTGGCACAGCTGAGAGTTTCCAAAAGGAAATCTGGAACGGGAGTAGAAACAGGGGCAGGCGGTCTGTTGTCAACACAGAAGAAAAAGGTAAATACCAGCTGATGAAGTGGTTTTGGATACTGCTGTTGGATATTGTCTAGAGAAAAGCAGGAGTGTTTGATTTGTGTTTTCTTTCTCCTATCTATTGATCTGTGCTCCCAGAGCCCATTCTGGTTTTCAAAATTATTGGTGGATGAATGCTGTTAACCTTAGGCATATTCTCTTAAAAGACAGAATACACAGAATGTTTTGGTTTTGAAGGGATCTTTAAAGGTCATGTAGTCCAAGCACCCTGTCATGAGTAGGGACATATCTGTTGTACCAGATATTTATGCTATCTGCAGGTTAAACTTGAATGCTAGATCCCAAATCTGCACGATGTGTTAGAGTTGAGAAAGGCAACTTCAAATCAATTAGACCTTTAACTGTTCAATTCTCTCTGATCAAAACAGGGAGGGAAATCTATTAGTAAAAATGCCAATTTACTTTTCTGAGAAACATGCTCACCCTAAAAGAGAGAAGTAATGACAACTTTAGGGAAATAGGAGCTTTCAAGAAGAAAGGCTGGCTTGTACCTGAAAAAAGAGGCAGACTACAAGGAATTCAGAAGTTAAGCATAATTTTTACATTAAAACAATCTATCAATAAATAGTAAAATTAATAAAAGAATGCCTATCCAGTAAGATTTTTTTGTCATAGTTCTTCCTTTTTAAAAGGTTCTGGAAAGAGCGCTGACTGTGCTCCATGTGTATTATAGATGTATTACAGAGTTGACATATTAATGGGATATATTTTTTTCCTTAAAATGCCTACATTTCTTTCGTATTCCAAACACAATGAGGATGAAATGCAGAATGTTATTGTACTAATTTGCACACATACTCTAATTGCACTGAGTAACTAAAGTATTCCAGAGCTGCTAAACCAGTTCACTCTTCTTTTGTATATTTTTATATTATTTTAACAGATATCGTAAACAATTTAGAGAAGTTTAATGGAGCAAATTATAGGTAAAGACTAAATGAAGCTTTGAATAAAATGTGTTTGTCAGTGAGCAATTAACATGACATGTATTTCACTTGAGCTTCAGTAAGCTAAATGAAATTAAAGTTCTAGTGTAGAATCACTTCATTTAATTCCAATATTCAAAAATATGCCATTAAGGACATCACTTAAAATCCACCGATTTATGTGAGATTTTTTCTATTTCGTTAGTAGTCTTTGATTCAAGGTCTTGGCTAAGAAAGATTTCGCAAACAGGACTGAGGTCATGATTGCTTAAATTGTATTTCTTGTAGCCTGTTTCCTTCCACAGGAACCACATAGCTCCCCTGCCCTCCCCACCCTAGGAACTCCCAAATAAAAACAAGTGATCTGAAGTGCAAGTATCATAAAAAATAAGGAGGTGTCTTTTTTAAATGAATGTTAGAGCACCAGTACTCTGCAAGTGATCCAACTTCCTTCACAATAGCTTTCATCTTTACTCTTATTGCTATTTGAAGCAAGCAGGGTTTGGGGCTCCTCAGCTGTGCTTCTGAGTAGACTTTTGATTCTTCTCATCATGTAGCCACCTCTGATTATACCTGTTTATCTGTAACACAGAACATTTCAATTATGCTACTTATTTCTGTAAACATTTTTAAGGTACAGCTGGCTTTAAAGTTGTTTAGGATGGATGAAAGAAAACACATATGAACATTTATTTTAAAGGGAAAAAGCTACATAAGTTGACCTATTACAAATATGTTTTCTAACATGAACCTCATATTTTTGTATATAAAAAAGAAAAAAGTAAATTGCAAATCTTGAATTTTTATCCAAGTTTGTCTGTTAGAATTAGCTTTCTGCCTGCTCTAATTACAAAAAATTTAGCTTTTCAGAGTTTAGTTACGTATTATATTTTCTCAGATCAGATTTTACTGATGACCATGAACCTACTAGTCAATGTTAAATTTTGTTTTAGCAGAGTGAGTTAAACAGAAGAACATGGTGTTGTTCATGGTGCTGAATCCAGTCTACTACTTGGTCATGTACACAGAAGTACAGACCCTGCATTTTGATTGTTTGACATTCATATCTGGGTACCAGAATCCCATCAGCCTCCAAACTGTCCTGCAGATGTGTGGCACTTATTATGTTATAATAAAAAATAAATCAGGGTATTGAGTGAGGTGCCTATTCTTGTCCTACTTCTGTTTGCTTCAGCAAGGTCTCAAAGTAGAGTCTTATTTTATAATTAATTGTTGAGCCATCATTTTACTTTTATATAGATCAATTCCTTAGAAAGTTAATATTGGGAAACATCACTGGTATCTAATTGCTTCTCTTGTGCTTCAACAGAGAGCAGAAGTAAAATACAGAACTAATATCTTGTATATAAATAAAGTTATTGTTCAGTTCTGGGCTTTTTAGACTTTAATCATCAAATTCCAGGAATGGATGCCCCATCATTCTTTTTTTACAACCAGCATAGCCTTTCTTAAACATACTGAATTTCCATTTTAATGCATACAAGTGGCCACAAATAAGCATTTTAATTAAAAGGACAACTGAACGAAAGTGAATCTAACACAATATTGTTACTTTTTTTATGGGGTTTACATTTGTCTATGCTAATGCATAAAATTATTAGTCATCAGTAGTTGCACATTTTGTGTCTTGCAAAAATTTCCAGCTTGGGTAGGTTGAAGAGAAATGTTTCAAGCATCAATTCCAAAAAAAGCTGCACAGTCAGCAGTCAGAACCAGAGTTCTTGATGCAATGAGTAGGAGGTAATGGGTGATTTTGAAATGTATGCCTCTGGCAAATGTCATATCAGGACATGTTACAACAAATGTACTTTTTCTTTTTGTCTTTCTCTTTACAAATTTCATCTATGGAGGAAAATTGGTGCACAGCCTAAAACCTCTCCTGAATTCTATATTCTATTCACAGTTATTGATTGTGTTGCCTGTGTGTTTCTTTCTAAGCTGCATGTGCACTTGAGCCTGGGAACAAGATTTAGGTCCCATTGCCTAAGCCAAAGTACGAACGTCAGGTTTCATTTTCACACTCTCTCAGTGTCTCATTCTGCTCATTATTGTGGGATTCTGATTTCCATGGCCTAGGGAGGTGAGAATCAGGTCTTCTGTAAATGCAAATGCAGGTGACCTACTGGGATCAGACTGGAGCCCCCATGGACTACATTTCCTCTGGTGTACTGAGGTTCCCAAGTTCCCAACTCCTTGCATGTATGAAGGAGCTGAGGAGCTATTCTATGTAATTCCACAAATCAGTGAGGCAGGATAAGCTGGCACGTGACTTGGCAATTGTTTTTTTACTAGCAATTCTGAGGATCTACTCCAACAGCAGTTGTGTCCATGGGAAGTGACTCTTACCTTCCAAGTATGGCATTAGAATTTGCCATTGATCTTGATAACTGGAAAATTGGTACATTTGTTGGTAGAAAGTGTTTTGACTGTGTAAGTTGTTACTTTAGATATCCATGGCAGAGGGATAGCAAGGGGTTTTACAATGGTACTTGAATTTAGTGATCTTTGAATTGAGATGTAAACTTTTTTTACTAGCTGAAACAAATGCCACATATAAAATTTCCTTGCCAAATATTCGTAATACTTCATATTTTATTGTTTGAAGAGGTCAAATATGAAATAAAAATTGAAATCAAATTAAAAAGGAAAAATAAAGGCCCACTTCTTGAAAATATGTTATCCTTATTTGTTTCTGCTGACAGCAGTCTAACTCAAAAGGAAATAGACCCTTCTATGCAAAAAGGATAGATAATTACTTGATGCAATTCCTACACTTTTACATTAAGAATTTCACTAAATGAGTGAATACATCAGTGCTGTGTATTACACAGAACACTGTACAATCAAAAATACACCAAACAGGCTCTAAGTTTTAAAACCAACATTCTGTTTTATACTATGTAGCAGAAGTCTTAATTCCTAATAATCAATTCCCTTGTTTTTCTAAATATAACATGTTATTGGCAGCTATGTAAAGGTCTAAATAATGCTACTAATTATTTGAAGATGTTTGTTAGATCTTAGTCATACATGCAACTATGATCAAGGCATTTTAATGCAGAGATTGATTGAATCCATAATTAATGTGATATAAAGACATCTCTATTAAAAACCACTAGATTAACCTGGTGTCCTGGCTTCTGTTGTGATAGAGTTCATGAAAATCAGTTTATAAAAATGTGAAACAAACATGAGAAGATCTCTTGTGATGAGAAATCAAGAAGTTAAGGGAAGAAAAACTGCAAATGCTTCAAGAAAATGCTTGTCATTAATAAATTAAATTGTCTGGTGCTTAAATGTGCTTTGGGAAGCCTACAGAGAACAGATCTAGACAAAAAAGGAACCTATATAAGGAGGTCTGGGTTTGGTTTGGGTTTTTTTTTCAAGGTTAGGGTTTTTCCTAGGTTTTATTTCAGCAAAAATGGGCACAGATGTCTCAGACCTCAGATATCAAAAATTTAATTTTTATAAATGAGCTCATAAATATTAAACTTGAAATTTTGTTTGGATGGATCATTAAGTGAGATTGCAAAATACTAAAATTATTATGCAATTTAAAAACAACAAAGTTTGCATGTGAGAGACAATTTTATTTTACCAATATAAGTTTTTAAATAATGGAAATATGCAGAAATCTGGATTGCTGTCCTTCAGCAAAAGATAGTAGGGTTTTCTTTTAATTGTGATTACATTGCTCAACCAGTAGAGAACACATAATTTCATGTGCTGGCTGTGGTTAATAAAGACATCTGCACTAACGTCTTCAGAATTGTGTCTTCTCTTCATGGAATAAGACAGACCCTGAAATGAACTTCTGCCAACCCACAGGCAGCAGAGCAATTAAAATCAGCTGAGAAAAAAATGTTCATCAAAGCAAAGCTATTATATAAAGTCACAAGAGAATGGGGCACACTTTGTCATTCTAGATACATTTTTTTACAGATAGATCTCATGGTGACAGTCAAATTTTACAAATTTTTTACAATTTTTTACAATTTTTCAAGTCAATTTTTTACAAATTTTCAAGACGTATTGTATTAATCCTGTATTTTGCTTTCATTATTAATCATAAATCCTTTAGACTACAAAGCTGTTGCTCAGGTTTGACTTACACTGGGCTAAAAGACATTAAGTAGCAACTATTCAATGTGTATTTTGTAATAGATGTATTCTCCATATTGTACTTAAGATTAGGGTACTTCTTGGAATAGAATTGCTAGTGTTTTTTAACAACATTTACTTTTTACTGAAAATTCCTGTTAATTTACCCAGAAAATGTACTTTGTATATCCATATCTTATCCTTCTTAGTATTAGTGTTTACTTGGGATTTTTTTCAATGGCATGTAAGTAGTTCCACTGGAGTCAAAGTACTTGTATATACTGGAAATACTTATGTGTCAACTTTGGCTTCTGAGTATATTTTTGAAGCATGTGGTTGCTCAATCCTTCGAGCACTTTTTTAGATATAGTCTTTAGAAGCTTTAGGCAAAATGGCCACTGTGCTAGTTTCTACTGACATGAAAGACACTGTTGCATGCATTTTCTCCACTATATTCTGTGGAGGCTTGTTCCTATCTGCATATATTAAAACAAAAGAGACAGATTTTTTTTTTTTTTTTGAGATTAAGTGCAGATCCGATGTCTGTAGAATGAAGTGGAGTTGCTATGTTTTTTTAAAAAGATGGACATGATCTCAAACTGTACTGGTTTTGCAGATTTTAATTACTGTGAGCAGTTCTCAGCAATGCTGACTAGAATTTCAGGGCTGCAACCAGCTGAAACAGAAATCCACACTTGCAAACTGAGAATTAGGATAGTTTGAAGAGTGCCCACCAAGTCTGCAGAGCAAGTTTAACGTAAGTTAAATAGCCATAGCTTTCACTGCTGTAGACACTGCTCACTGGTATGCAGCTGAATAGCAGCTGGTTAGTGGGAATATCACAAATCCTCTCATTTGGTTAGTGAAAAATCTGGTGCCCACATTGTGAGTTCTTTTAAGAGCAGGCATTGAAATTTTGTTTTAGATTACTGAAATACTAGGTGATCAGCAAATTACATTCAGTAGGAAGGCATTTTGCTCCAAAGAAGAATTAATAACTTTTGAAATTAACGTGCTGTGTTTTGTGCGTCCACAAAATCACATTTTAATTTTATTTAGAAGTTTATTTTCCAGAAAACTCTTTGCTTACAAGTGTGATTGAAAAATGTATGAAGTATAATAACTTTTTAATTTTGTGTTGGCTTGAGCTTTTTGATTTCTTACCAGAAGGTAGATAATTCAGATGTCTTTAAATTCTTGGTTTGAAAAATCTATAAATTGTAGCACATTGTTGATGTGTATTGATAGGACTCAAGGACACATTTCAGTGTAGGACACAGGAGTTTGGATGATAGCATTCCTATTACCATGAATAGAGCTTGCAGGTTGTGTGATCATTCTGGAATTGAATCCTTGTGTGCTGCCAGTTGGCACTGCTGAGTGCTGATGAGCATCCAGCCCTCTTCTGCTGTTTTCAAAAGGGACCCCTTAGAAAGGAGACTTAGAAACATAAAGAGACTGCTTTCTGCCCAAATCCTCTTGCTACCTGCTGTGCAGAAAGAGGTTTGTGCTACTGGACACTTGGTTGCCCATGTGGGTACTACTGACAGATGCAGAAACAGGATCCTACATATCCATGGCATTCTCCGTTATAGCCAAATCTGTGTGGCCAAATCTGATCCATAGCCTTCTTGTCTGAAAATTGGTAAACAAAATGGAGCAATCCATGGCAGAATTTTCTTCTCTTGACCCTTAATAAATTCATTTGGTCTCTGTCATGTGCAGTAAGTATTACTACCCAGTTTTCCATCCTTCTAAGTGGCATGAGAGCCAGATGTTTCAATTAAAATCTACTCCAAGCAAATGCAGCTCTTTTTTCCTTTTATCCTGTTGCCTGACACTTATGCTCAGCAAGTTTTTTTACAAGATCTTTGTTTCACTTGCAAATTTATATTTTAACATTCTGCAGTATTTTTTGCTAATGAGAAATACCTAATTTCTCATTAGTATCACCAATCTTTATAGTTTTGAGCAACACATTTTAACAAGATACCAAGCTATGTGTTATGTGTGCATTAATTTGCTAAGGGTCATCTCTCTATTTTCCCTCTTAGTACAGGTTGATCAAATGTAGGTATCTGAAATCACATTGAAAGTACATATGTATGGACTTTAAGAATTTATTATGAAAGTATATATGACTAATATTTTACAGCAACTATAAATAGAAAGTAATTTTTCTAAATAATATGGCAAACATAGTTAGAAAATCTGCCATCTATCATAGTTAGCAGGGTTGGGGCTTTTTTCAAGCTTTTGCGTAGAAAATTGACAAGGCTAATTGACCTAATGATTTCTAGTTCATTTGACTTACTGCTACATAATTATATTAGGACCAGACATTAAAACAAGCAAGTCTTACTTGTGCTGCTACCCGAGGCCTCCCACTTAGCTTCATGATCTCTGAAAGTCATCTAGTATGTGTTGTGACAGGGATTTTCATTTTGTACATTTGAGTAAAATCTGTGTTAAAACTAATAGGTCCTGTTTGAAAATAAGTGGTGAGACTGAGAGATTTCTTCCATGTCCTTTTTTTTTTCTTAAAGTAGTTTAATAAGTTTATTCTATTACTGATTTATGTTTCTTTGATTTCAAAATGCTTTCACTTTGCAGTGCTGCAGGCCTGCTTGCAACTGATTGCTGACAGCAAAAGTGATATCCAACAGAAAGGTAAGAATATGTGCCATGATTTATATTCAATGGGATAACTTTTTCAACAAATGTTACCTAATTTCAAAGCAGTAACTGAGCTTTAACAGCAAATTTAAAAAGAAAATAATTAATTTTTTTTTAAACCCCAACAACAACAAAAAAAAAATCAAAAAACAACTAGGAGGTCCCTGAATCTGGAAGGTCCCTGTATCTGAATGGCTCTTGCAAATATCATCTTTTCAGTGGGGAAATCCACCTAGTGAGACTGGAAGTTCTATCTAGAATTCATCTTTGTTAATTGTCAGCAGGTGAGAAAGAGGAAAATAACCTTTCCAATCACCCAAAATTATTTTGTCTTTTAGATGATTCAAGCATTGTCCCTTGGCTTCTGAGCTTTAAACGTGGAACAGCTCTGGAAGAACAAGGAAATAAAATAGTGATCAAAGAAACAGGTTATTTTTTCATTTATGGCCAGGTGAGAAAGCTCAATTCACTTCAGCACCTGACTTTTGTAAGGATTTTTAATGCCTCCATACAATAAGTTTAAAGTTTTCACCTCTTCTTTCTCTAGGTTTTATATACAGATACAACATTTGCTATGGGACACTTAATACAGAGGAAGAAGGCTCATGTGTTTGGTGATGATCTCAGCTTGGTGACATTGTTTCGCTGCATCCAAAATATGCCACAGTCTTATCCAAATAATTCTTGCTATACTGCTGGTAAGTATCTACATTTTCTTTTTCTTTGTTTGCAAATAAGCTGTACCAAATAGAATCTGTAGTGCTGGGCAATTGTATTGTAGCAGTCATAAAGAACAGGATCTGCATTCATGGATCTGACTAACTGAAAAGTTACAGAATACTTTCAGAAAATACAGTTTTATATAAAATATCAGCAACTGGAGATTATGCATCTAGCTTGGTGAGCTGAACAATTTTGCTGTCTCTATTGACTCTGTAATGTGGTTAGATATTTTGGTGCTTTCAGTTAGTTGCCTGAAGCAGGCAAAAGGAATACCTACTGTCCTCACTGAAGAACTCAGTTTAACCTAGGAGGTGAATTACACATTTAGTCATCCCGAGAAATATTAAGGTGCTATATTCTCCTTTGAAATGTCATGTATGGATTTTAGCCATGCAATATTTGCACACCTTACAGTGATAGTTCTACTCCTTATAAAGGCTACTGGATTTTTAGTCTTTGGTTTGATGACAAACAGTTAATTCCTATAAGGTGGTCTTTATGACTGCACAAATTAGAAACAGCACAAGACCAATTAAACTACTTAATGCAAGTCCAACAGGCTCAATGGTCAATATATGTGTATATTCCTGCAGTACCACTTAAGGAATTAGTGTCAAGGACTATAAAGCCCCATATATCATCTCTTAACTGCCTGTCTTTGCACCTTAATGGTGGATTTGAGGGTTTTCTCTTTGGTCATTTTCCATCAAGATTTTTTTCAATGCCTTATGAAAAAGTGGCTGACACTGAGGGATGGAGTTGTCTGTCAGCAAGTAATGACATTAAACATATGGATGTGGCAGGAAGCTAATTTTTTTCCAAATAAAAATAAATTCTGACTAGCTAACTAATGAACTAGATACTTTTTCCCAGCAATTGAGACTGTCCAAACATTTCCTTTGATTTTTCGCCCCTTCAGTCACACATTCTGGAAACATAACCACCTTCAATTTCATCTATATTCTGATTTTACCCTTGTATTACTGCTCCCCTTACCTAACTAGGATCTCTATCTTGTCACTTCATAATTCCTGCTTCCCAAACTCACAGTGTTCTGTTTTCACTTGGAAAAAAGAGTTCTGACTGCTCTCTCATGCTGTTGAGCATGTGTCACAGCAGATATTAGATGAGTTCTCAGCTCAGCGGCTGCAGCTGGAAGGGGACAAGATCTTGGTTATCATATCAGCTGATGTGTGGCTGGCAGGATGCAAACTTTGGTGCTCTGCAGTTGCAGTGGATCAGCTGATGTCTGGTAACTTCATTAGGTTGGTAAAGCTCATAAGAGCTCCTCCAGAAGTGTGGGAACAAAGCGGTCTGGAGCCCATAATACTCAATGCTGATTTTGACTGTCTCATCACCATAACATGAGGAACCTGGGTGCACCACTGTTAGAAATTTTTGCTGTGTTTGCTGAAGTGAACTGTGCTGTGCTGAGTGCAGTGTGTAAATTAAGTTCATCTTCACAGAGGATGTTAAGTGTCAACTTTGGATAGGCTGCAAACTCTAAGATTGTACCTAAAGATAAAAACATCATCACAAGTAACAAACCATACTTACATTTGGAAGATGACACATAATGACTTTTGAGTGCCATTTATAAAGTAGTGCATTTGAGATATTAACTTTAAAATATTCCATTTTTTTTAACCAGGCATTGCAAAATTAGAAGAAGGGGATGAACTTCAACTTACAATACCACGAAGAAGGGCTAAAATATCCTTGGATGGAGATGGTACTTTTTTTGGTGCAGTAAGACTCCTCTGAAGCCCTTCATTTCTGTTTTTATGCTTAATGCCATTTTGTTCTCTACCTATTCCTTTGTCAGAAAAAATACTGAATTGTAATAAAGCTGCCAATTCAGCCTCTCCCAATTCACCACAGGCTTCTAAGAATTTTCTTCACTTTAATATGCAAACCAAAACAGGAAACATACCAGACATACTTGTGATATAACCACCATGTGATTACCAGAAAGCCAATTTGTTTTAGACAATGGGAGACTCTAGATAACAACTATAAAGCAAGGAGGTTTTGGCTTTAAAACAATTTGTTGTTGTTTAACAAACCAAAGGAGTTGACCAAAAATAACAGCATGACCAGGACCACAGACTATCAAATTGAAAAGGAAATCTAAAATAAAAGTGCATCTTAGATTTGCATTATATCATCAACAAAGTATTTAATATATAAAGTGTGGGGATAAAACATCAAACAGTACATTCCTTACCACAAAATGAAATTGTTAGCTGGGTTCTGAGTTTTGGGTTTTTTTCCCTTTCCCCAAAGATACTGGGGAAGGAAAAATTCTAAATGTCTGGGATAATGAAAACAAATATACAGAATTGTAGCCATTGTCTCACTTCGTCCCTGTGAACAGAAAGTGAATAAATTACTACAATCTATTAGCATTTACTAATTAGAATTAATCTTGCTGGAAAAAGGACATGTAAAGCACTTCAACAGCTCAATCTTCAAAGCATTGCTTCTCATCAAGGAATACGTGTACACTTCTATGTAAAGAAGGCTGGCACAGGAAGAAGCACAGTGCAATTAGACACAATACCATGGCTGGAATTGGATTTACAGCTCCATAATTTCTGCAGTCATATATAGATGTGTGTATATATATATATATATATACACTGTATATATATATATACACACACTGTGTATATATATGTATATGTGTATATATATACACACTATGTAGACATATCTGTATATATTTGAGAATATTATGCACACACTGGTCTTCAGCATTTGGGAATAGAATTTTTTCTTCTTTTGAGCAGTTTATCCAATGGATATACTACTTAATATATATTTTTTTATATTTCCCTTGCTTCTTGCTATGATTTATTCTATGAAATATAGTAAAAAGAAAAATCCAATACATCTGGGACCAGCCATGCAATTTAAAAAATACACTTGTATCTCAGAGGCTTTTTCTGCAGTTTTGAATATAGTGCTTAACTCTGTTTTACAAAAAATATCCAGATCTGTAGAAAGAATAAACATATGTCCTTTTTCCTTTTCTTCTGTCTGGCTGCTTTGTTCAGTAGATAGTATTTATGCCTTTTTTTTTATTCCAAATATTGTATGGTCCAAGGAGCTATTCTGTTTTTTCCCTGCTCTTAAAGAAGCATAGAATTGCTACTGGAATAGATAAAAAGTAAAACCCTAAGTAATGAATTGCACTTTATTTGAAAAATAGTTTTTAGGACCTGAGAATTGTGTTATATAAGCTTACTTAGTAAAGAAAAGATGCTCTGCATATTGCCGTTTCCTTGTCTGTTTTTATGAATTGTGATTTGATTGATTTCTCATTGTGATAGATAATAAATAAAAGAGATTTGGAGCTCAAAATTATGGTAAACTAATAAAAAAATTATTTCATGTTCTCTGGGCTTTGGGAAGATATATCAGCAATAAGCATATGTGTATTGGATTTTTACACTGGGATTTTGATGAGGCTTAATGACAGTTTCAAAATATCTGCAAGTCCTTTTTTTAAAATGTCTTTATGTATTGTGGAGCTGAAGCTGCAGATGCTTATTTTTTCTTTTGGATTTTTTTTGGTCTTTATTATTAATATTTTATGTGCTGAATTTGCCAAAAAGTCATTTTAAATCCTATACAGGAGCCCTCCATTTAACCAAGGTTGTATAATGCTGCATATAGGTAAAAGAACTGCTAGCACACAGTGAGGTGTCTGTTATCACTGAAGTACATGAATGATGCCCAGAATGTCTCATCAGAAATTTGATTTTTAGTGTTGTCTGATTATAGGAAAAATTACATTGTTACTGTTGCTTTCCCAGAGAATTGGTAGCTAAACCTGCAAATCTAACTTCTATTGTGTAAGTTTCCCCAGTGGCTTTGGTGGGCTTGTGTGTGCTTAGTTTAAGCCATTCCCCTGGCTGCATTTCTTCCTTCTGCTCCTGACAAATGTGCAAAGTGCAGATGTGTGGAAAGGGTCTGGCACATGATTTGGCTTGGAGGAAAACTTCTGTCTCCTGAAAGAAAAATTTTCAAAGGTGTTCCCTTCCTTAGAGGGATGAAATTGAACTTCAAGTTTCTTCACAAAAAGCATGAAGCATGTTTCTGTGAACCACGAGAACTCCCACATGTGTGCAGAGTGCAAACTGACAGACTGTTCAGATACTTCTACTTACAAATCCAGCAATTTTGTTGTCGACAGATTAGGTTTTTACTGGCTTCATGAGAAAATTTGTCTTCTCAAAATTAACCTGCTTCTGCACAAATTTGAGTTTTAACAGATCAGCATTTTCTGATCAAAGCATAAAGAAAAGGAAAATAGTTAAACCCTGATCATTCTGCTAACAAGCTGGTGATATAGAAGGTGACAAACTGCATCCAGACCACCATCACACATATGCTTCAGTGAGTGGGAGTTAGTGAAGCATTCTGCATTTGGGAGATATTTAAATAAGTGTGATAGGCAATAATTAGTATCTAGTTGGTTCATATAATATTCCACATTTTTATCAAGGATATCTAGCATTTAAGAGAGGTTTCTGCAAATGCAACAAACGTTGTGTATACTCTGATTCTTTTTCACGTGGTGTTAAGTAGCAGTGTGGCAAACATAAGGGACTTTTTCTTTCCAGTACATTTTAACAGAAAGCGTGAAATTTTATCATTCTTTCCTTTTTAATAATCTGCAGTTGACTTTGACTATAGCTGCTTTGAATGTAATGTATTTAATGTAATGTGCATCTCATCTCTTTTATATGATGTGTAGTCCACACCCTGCCAACATACAGACTATATTCATTATGTGACTCTCCTATATCTGACTGTTTCTCAAATTGCTCAGCATTTGTCAATTTTAGACTTTGACTTCGTAGGTCCTATAGTTTTTTCAAGCTTATACTGCTGGAGCTGACAGTTTCTGCATCTCTGGTTTGTGTCTCTAAAGTTTAATTATATTGGGTTGTCTCTAGCCCTCAGAGTTCTACTCCTCTAAACATGAGGCTAGGAAAAATGCATTCTTTGGAATTTATTCTAAAAATTTGGCTACTTTTTCTTTGGAAAGGCCTAGAGATTTTGCTTTGAAAGAAGAAATATAATGTGGGTTTTGCTTTGTTTTAGAAAGAGTTTTCTTTCTTCCTTCCTCTCTTTCTTCTGGACTCTCACAGGGTATATGCTTTTGAAGAATATATCATGCTTTCTCATGTTAAGCATATTCTATCTCTATGGAACTTTCAAAAAGAAGAGGAAAATGTTCCCAGCAACTTTATGTCTGGATTACATCAGTAAGGCCTAAGTTTGTTTTTCAAGGTCAGTCCAAACAGCACTGCGAAGGAAGCTGATGCAAATTCAGGGAAGAGGAAAGCTAAATATTTGATGTAGAAAGACTCTCATGGAGTTTGCAGGTTACATAGATCCCAGCAGAGATGGGGAATACAAATTAGACCTGGAGCTGGATGACAGGAACAGGAGACACCCTAGCTGGGATTTAACTGATTGATTTCTAATTCACAAGCTCTCTTATTCATAGCTCAGAACTCATAACTCATGCACCTATGAGCAAAACATAGCTGCTGGGGAGAGCTCTTGTTCTTCCTTCTCTGCCATGGGACAGGTGTCGCACTGTGGAGAATGAAAGCCTCAGCAATCCAGCTGCTGTTGCAGTCACTTTAAAAACTGTTTGGGTAAGCTGACACCTTTCAACTTGGACATTTGATCTACACCATCTCCAGGAGTTAGCAGGTTTTGCCAGACAAGCAACAGGCAAAGATGATGGCTGTGGGAAACAGCAGGCTGCAGGTGACAATGGCTGCATAAGGACCTTTAGTTCTTTTTTCTCATGGCGTTGAGCACACATGTTGCCTTTGCTTTGGCCAAACAGCAGTGACCCCAGCATCAGGGAATAACACAGAGCATGAACTATGTGCTAGCCAACATCTGAGCAAGAAGTGAGCAAAGAGTCACACCATGGGGAGTGCAGTCAGACACTGACACAGGTTGTTCACAGGATTCCATCACTTTCTTGGATAAATCCCTGAGCAACATAGTCTGAACCCAGTGTTGATCCTTCTTTGAGCAGGATGAAGTACAGGCCTCCTAAATGATCCCTGATCTCTGAGAAGAAAGTAGGAGATGGGAGAGGAAGAGAAAGGACTGAAACTGGTGGGTCAGGAAAGGTCCTGCTGGGGAAGGAAGGGTTTTCATTTCCTGAGTGCTAATGAAACACAGGGTCCTCAGTGTGTGCTTCAACAGCATCAGCAAACATTTATGAACTGAGCAGGGCAGGTTCCAGTTAAGCACAGCAAGTTGCTAGTAGTCATCAGGTACCGCATGACCTCAAACCTAAGAGTGTAAATTGAATCAAACCATGTGGCCAAGTAATAATCTTTTTTTACTCTCTTACAAGTTTCCTTTGACTTTTTTTCCTGCCCCCCTCCTCAGTTCATTCAGTGGATAAAAAGAAGATACTTCATCCTGTGGAAAATAGGATATCGATGGAAAGTGTTTTAAGCTGAAGACCAGAAATATATCTCAGAAATGTTGAAAGGAAGTAGTAAATGAGGCAGAGCATGAAAGAAGATAAATTAGTGTCCTTTTTAAATTAGAATTGCATTCCCTTTCTGTCAGTGAGAGCTGGCTGAAAAGTCATGTTTACTTTCCACAGATGTTGATTTTTTGCTCTTCTTTTAAGGCTACATTTGTTTCAGTTTTGACTTAAAACCACTTCTACTAAAACTTTTTTTGGCCAATCTACAGATCCTATCTCTAGTCCTGATGAATGTCACTTATTCCAATGGTTGTGGGAAGTCCTGTATCACAAGACATATGTGAATTCTCCTGACTGTGCTTAGGGTGCTTGCTTCCCAAAGCTTCTCAGCCTAGGGAGGAGTCTCAATGAGCTACTTTGAATCTAGAGACTTCCACTTTTAATTTCCCTGGCTCAGAAGCCAACAGCCCTTTTGGAAGTCTAAGCTCAGTTCCCCCCCACCATAATTTTCAGTTTCATAACAGTTTATTCAGTCTGAAATATTTTAAGGAGAACATGCTGGGCTCCACAAACTGTGGTTTTGACAAGTTTTGACTGTTTTGTCTGAAAATTTCCAGACTGCCCTAGCATTTGTTGTAGAGTTCCTTAAACAAGATTTTTCACAGGTGGTCACTGAGTAAATGTTC